CTGTGCTCAGGGCCAGGATCCCTGGGCTGGTTGACACTGCATGGTGTCTAGACATGGCGTTGCAGCCACTTGCTCAGGGATGTCCCAGCATTCTGACTATGGTTAAAGCTGTTCTGGTCTTTCTCTGAAACCTGATGCTATTTTCAGAATATAACTTAAATTACCCATTCATGGAATTGGGAGTGCTTCTTGATCAACATAACATCAAGGAAAAGTCTTTTAGGGCCATTTTGATTATATATTTCATAGTTCTTTACTCTTGCCTCTGTTATCCATTTTCTGTAACTTTTTCTTTTAAATTTTATTGAGTATTGAATAAAATACTATACTTGATCTTAGCCAAAGATCACCTAAAAAACAGGAAAAAAGTATCTATCAGTGTGATCTCTACAACTCACCTCTAATTTACTGGAAATAAAACAGAGTCTGGGAAGCAGAAAAATATTACATTTCTAACGGCCTTGAACTTCCCCAGTGAACAGGAGATAAGAACAGGAGAAAAAGCTTGTGTTTGAGGTGACATTGGTTCATAAAATTATATAGGTTTCAAGAGTACAGTTTATACTACGTTATCTGTATATTCCTTGTGTGTTCACACTCAGTCTAGTCTTCTTCCATCACCATATATTTAACCCTCTTTACCAGGGGTCCTCAAGTTTTTTAAACAGGGGACCAGTTCACTGTCCTCAGACCGTTGGAGGGCTGGACTATAGTTTAAAAAAAACTATGAACAAATTCCTATGCACACTGCACATATCTTATTTTGAAGTAAAAAAACAAAACGGAACAAATACAATATTTGTATTTGCATGTGGCCCGCGGGCCGTAGTTTGAGGACCCCTGCTCTTTACCCTTTTTTCTCTTCCCCACTCCCTTTTCCCTCTGGTAATCACCATACTGTAGTCTTTGTCTTTGAGTTTTTGTTTGTTTATTTGTCTTGTTTGTTTCTTGCTTTCAATTTTGTATCTCACGTGAGTAAAATCATATGGTTCTTGATTTTTTTCCAACTGACTTATTTCACTTAGCATGATATTCTTATTATCCAACCATGTTGTTGAAAATGGCAGTATTTCATCTGTTCTTGTGGCTGAGTAGATACCCAGAAGAGGGATTGTTGGGGCATGTGGTAACTATTCTTATTTTTAAGGAACTTTCGTACCATAATGGCTGTACCAATTTACATTCCCACCAGCAGTGTATGAGGGTTCCTTTTTCTCTACAATCTCTCCAACACTTGTAAGTCGTCTTGTTGATAATAGCCATTCTAACAGGTGAATTGCCTCTTGGCTTTTTGGCTAAGATCAAGTGTAGTATCCTTAACAATTCAATATCTCTTCTCAGCTCATCGTAAGAATAGGAAGGATACTCAAGAACAATACAGCAAGGAGACACGTTTTCTCTCACTCCTCTTCAACTCCCACTTTAATGCCTAATATATCAGTGTGATTTACAGCGACATTTCCCATTTAATCAGTGAAATCAATTCACATAAGATTTGATGTTTCATAATATCCACTGTGAAGATGCATTGATTTTCATAATTGAACCTGAAACATTGAGTGAGTCTTAGGAACATTAAAAGCATCTTTTATTTTTAATTCCTTCCTTTATTGGGAACATAAATACAGGTGATTATACAGGCACTAAGAAATTTATGAAAATATGTCTTCCAAATTGGAGCATGTTGTCTATGTAGAATAACTGAAGGAAATGTAGAACAACCTGTGATGTGCACGATTGTTATTTTATGCTTAGGGAAAAGCGATTCTCAAATGCACACGTCTTTCTGAGGGGAGGGTACCTAGATGATTCAGACAAGAAGTAAGTACTAACTCTCTGAATTGCTATCCTTCTCCACAAGTATTGCTGATATGTACACAAGGCTTAAACAGCTTTTTCTCTTGCTCTTATCTCCTGTTCACTGGGGAAGTTCAAGGCCTTTAAAAATATAATATTTTTCTGCTTCCCCAGACTCTGTTTTATTTGCAGTGGATTAGAGGTGAGTTGTAGAGATCACACTGATAGATACTTTTTTTCCTGTTGTGCTTGTTAGAAAAAGGTTATCTCACTTCACTGCCAGCAGTTAATATGGGATCATATTGTTTTCTTCTATTACAGAAATGTCCCCAAGGACTGAGAGAATACAAGTCCATAAAATAACCATCGGGCTACTGTCATGTTAAGCTTTGTGATTAATGTAAGGACATGGCATAAAATAACATTTAAGTAATAGAAGAATTAACCACCGCCCATCTCTAAATTTGAAATATGTGGCATTTCTGTTTTTCTTATATTTCCCATTCAGTAGCTTCTGGGGTGTTTCCTCTCGAGCCCTCTGAGGTGGGGTTACTGGGAATGTAGACGTGTTCTGTTCTTTAGAAGGGCGTCTGTTTGTGTGACTGCAGAAGGGACATCCTGGAGAGATCCAGGTTTACAGTGGGAGGAAATGAGGCGGTCAGACTGTTAGGAAGTCTGTGCAGTTCTCCATGGGAATGGTACTTGAACCAAGTTTTGTAAGAGAGGAAGATTGGTTTAAAACAGTTAAACTAGGTGCTTGTTAAATGCAGATTCCACACCCCACACTAAGACTTCGCAGAGTCCCCTGCCTGAAAATCAGCATTTTCCCTGAGCACCCCCAGTGGCTCTGAAGAACATTACAATTTGAGAATCAAGGCTAAGCCTTCTGAAAATCAGGGCCCGAGAGGACGTCCGTCCTGCTGTCTACTTACTCATCCTCTCATCTCTCTAAGTCCTAATGTTCAGAATAAATTGGGCTTCTTTCTATGATCATCTCTTTATTTCCAGGAGTAGCCTTTCTCTTGTTTTATTCATTCTGGAGAATAGGATTAAAAATTGTCACACATGACAAACTGTTGTCCCACCTACTGAGTAGTCAGAGGGCTTTTCTTTAGGACTAATGGTCAGAGAATGGATGTCATGGCAATGCCAATTATAGCCATCAGGGTGAAGGTTCAGTTCTTGGGTTAAGCTTAAATGGCCCCACTGTCTATGGTCTGGGCCTTCTTGGGGTGTTTATGAGGCCTGGGTTACAGCTTATATTTATGGAATTTACAATGTCGTCTGCTGGCAAGGCTATTGCTAGGTGGTGTCACAGGAGTTAATACCGGGTTCTGCCACTGAATAGACACTTCATTTCATCTCTCTGAGGTTCCATCTGTAAATCTGGGGAAAGTAACACCTATTTCCAGAGTTGTGAGGATTTGCAAATGTAGATAAATTACCTTACATAGTGCCTGGTACAAAAAAATGTGCTTAATACTTGTAGCAATTTCTTTAGTTATTATAGTGGAGGAGAAATTATTGAAAATGGAGGTGAGGTTACCACTGGTATGAATTGAAACAATCCAGTTTGAGGTACTTTTGGAAAAATGTGGTTTCCCCAGTAAATGATTCAGTTTTTCTGTGCCCTGGCATCCATGAGAGTGACCCTTGATGACCTTGGAATGAACTTGACAGAGGGACATTTGGAAAGAGACAGCATTGGGATGGATGGGTGATGTTGGGATGCAGTGCGGGCGCCTGGCATCCACGAGAGTGACCCTTGATGACCTTGGGATGAACTTGACAGTGGGACGTTTGGAAAGAGACAGCATTGGATGGATGGGTGATGTTGGGATGCAGTGCGGGCTGAGATGAGAGCCACTCAGGCCAGTGGTGCCTGGTAGCCCAGGTTTTTCTCAGGGAACCATCTGACACTCTGCCCGGACTCCACGTGGCCTCACGTGGGTCCTTATTGTCAAGCTCACAGCCACACACTTTCTCTACTGAAAGTGAGACTCTGTCATAATGAGAAAGTGAGACTGTTGCTTTACCTATTGGTTAAGCACACCTTTGTTTATAAATAGTTGGTTATAAGTCAAAGACACATCAGGCAGTGTGTATATATTCTGGCGTAGATATTTATAGATAAATAAGACTTTGAACTTAAAAAATGGCATATGGGGTGTGTGTTTAGCTTAGGTCTTAGTTTTACTTTTTCCAGTAAGGTGACTTACAGATTCGAGGACCAAGTCCCCTGGTCAGTGACTCCAGACGTGGTGACATTTTTCTGACCCATGAAATAAAGGCTTTCTCCTTGGATTCAGCGCAGCAGTTTGGATCAAAGTGAAATGTTGTTCTATATTCTATATCGTGCGTGTTTCTGAACACTTTAAAGTGGGTTGATAGCCTCAACTGTGGACTAAGAGGAAGTCCGCAGATGGCATCAAGGGACTGGGGAGAAGTTCCGAATAGGGAAGCACTGAAGGTTGTTGTCAATGAATTAAAAATTTGAAATTCAGCCGGGGTAGGGAGTGGAAGGGCTTAATGGACAGAGCCCAAGCTTAGGGTGACCATGTGTTTGTGTGTCCCCAGCACTTACTTGTGATGGGGCTTTAGGGAAATGAGGTCACTTCTCAGTTTTCTCATCTGTAAAATGTGAGTAATAAAGCCTATCCCTTAGAGTGGTTTTCCGGATAAATTCTGTCTTTATTACTGGTCATGATGCCTAGATATGGTAGGCACTCAATAAATTATAGCTGCTGTTATTAGTTATAAGACTATTTAATATTTGATCAGTAAATGCTATGTAGGTCTGCCAGGTTGGAAAAAGTGTGAGTGTGAAATCCCAGAATGACTCCCCGGGGAGGAATTGGTGGCTATGGAAGTGGCTGTGGACTAATGCATCTTTCTCTCTGCCCGGTCCTGTAGGATGTGGATAGGTGGTCCTTTGATGTCTTTTCTCTCAATGAAGCCAGCGGGGACCATGCACTGAAATTCATTTTCTATGAATTACTCACACGCTACGATCTGATCAGCCGTTTCAAGGTCAGTGCCTAATGGAAAAAACAACAAGCACACATTTACCTATCCTTGCATGATTTGGGGGCTGAGGCTAAGAGAATCCTTTTAATACAGACCCCAAACTGCTCGGGGTGACTTGGTGACGCATCGTCTGGACAGTCGCTGCCACGGACTCCTCCCTGGTGGGAACTTTTCATTACTTCCCTGCCTGGTGGGGTTCCTTGGTCAGGGAGAGGCTGGAGTTGCACATTTTGATCCCAGTCTTCCTGGGAAGTACCACCCGAAGCTTGCACTAGCAGAACTCCCCGTGGCTCTGCTCACTGATCTCATTTCAGCCTGATTTCATGTAAATTCTCCTCCATCAGCGGGGAGACACTGGTGGAGACAGAATGCAGGACGGCTGCCTCTGCAGACTTTTTTTTCCCATCACTTGACTCAAATGCAGACAAATACTCTCACTAATCATCTTGACGGGTCATTGGTATTGCCCGGCCATTCATGCTTCCAATGAATTCTTCTGCCTTAAGTAAAGAGCACGAATCATTTCCAGTGTGCAATCCCTTCAGCCTCTCACTCGCAGAGTCTGGAGGTCAGGCCGGGTTCTCCAGGCAACCTGTGAATTCATCGGCTGACATCTGTCGTATTATGTTTCTCAGACGTCCCTCATCCTAGGGATGAGCCTCTGGAAAATGCAGGCCTTTTTCTCTGCAAAATATTGACTTCTCTGGACAGCACGGTGCCTTAGCACTTCCCAAAGGACTGTGTATTTCTTACATGGCCAGAAATATTTGATGGCAGTGGTCCTTAATTTATTTTGCACCAGAAGCCTGTTTGAAAACCCGGTGAATGCCTGAGACATTGTCAGCAGAGCAAAGCTCCATGAATTTCAGGGGTCACAGACCGCTCATGAACAGCCCCGAGAATCTAGGTTTCTTGGGACTTCCTTTTCAAAAATGAAAATTGATCTTTGACATCTGCAAGGCAATGTTTAAATTTTTAAAGCAGAAGCGTGGAAGACTGGGCTCCAGAAAGAACATGTTATGGGCTCTCGCTAAGCATCCCGGTAGAATTGTTCTCATTTTTTCTTCCTGATGTGATGTTTAGTCTCCAGGAACATGTACTCTTTCCTTTTCCTCCAGTCCTGAAGTTGATAATTTACCCCAAACCAAGGAATTGATCCCGAAAACTTACACAATAACTGTCATCAGGGTGCCCTTATTTTCTACATTTTGCAGTTGTCCTCCACTTTCTGCCACATAGAAAAAGAAGGGATGTATTTATACATACTTGAGACAGAAAAGCAGTTAGGCTAATTGGAAATATTATTCCACATTGCAAGGCACCTATAATAAACTAGAGGCCTGATGCACGAAATTCATGCAAGAGTAGGCCTTCCTTCCCCCAGCTGCTGGCACCAGCTTCCCTCTGGCACCCAGGACCCCGGGCTTCCCTCGCAGCCCTGGCTTCATCTGGAAGGTCTTCCAGAAGGACGTCAGGTCTAATTAGCATGTTATGCTTTTATTAATATAGATTGTCGAGTAACAGACATAAAGACACAGGTTGTTTCTGTTTCCATATATAACAGACGATGTCTTTTTTTTTTTTAACGTGTCCATACATACAATCACTTTCCCTAACGGGCACGGTTTTCTGGAGATGGCAGCTTATATTTGTTTTGCAATCATTTCAAGACCTAAGATCTCGGTGTACTTTATGTTTTGTCATAAATAAACGAGATGCACTGCATAGTATGCGCTCATTTATTTCTCGAGAAATAAAAGACCCAAACCTTTGCTTGAGGAATAAATGAACACAAACCCTTCTGCCCTACATGTCTTTGAGCTGATCCTGTGTAATGTTTTTTCCCTCACTTAAAGCTACTAAACCACTAGCCATTAAACTTACTACTCTTTTTCAGATCCCCATTTCAGCACTCGTCTCATTTGTGGAGGCCCTGGAAGTGGGATACAGCAAGCATAAAAATCCTTACCACAATTTAGTGCATGCTGCGGACGTCACACAGACAGTGTACTACCTCCTCTATAAGACAGGCGTCGCTGTGAGTATAGATGGGAACGCTAGGATTACACAAACAGCCAGGTCTCTATGGTTGGTCTCTATGCCCTTTTACTTTGAAATCTTCTTCAGAGATAGATACTCTGTGGGTATGGTTATTCATTAGCCCATAAACCCAGTACCCAGTACACATTTATTATCTTTTCAGCAAGGCCATGTTGAATGACTTGGTCTAATTTCTCACTGAATTAAAAATGGGATACAGTGGGAGGAGTGTGGGCTTTGGAGCTAGATATAGTTGGATAGAAATCCTTGTTTAATTACTTATTAGACTGTGACCTATGATGAATTGCTTGAATCTCTGAGTCAGGATATCCTCATTTCTAAAATGGTGAAAAATACTCTATCTTATAGAAATGCTGTGACAGTTTGGAAAAAAGTATCAGAAATATGATGTGAAGATGTACTTTGGACTTATCTATTCAACATATATTTAGTTAGTTCCCACTGTGTATGTACTATGGAGATATAAAGGTGAATTATACACAGATTTTTATTTTGGCCCTCAAGAAAAACTCCCAAGGGTTTATGCTAATGCAAGTTATCATTAATGTAAATGTTATATCGTAGCAGCCAATGATCATGACGTACTGCATAATGTTCTTAATTGCGCTTATTTGCCATTGAATTTTTATGATCAATTCAGGCCATATTCAGAATAATTCCTAAATATAGAAACTGCTTTCCACCCACTCTCTCTCCGAAATGCAGCTCAAAACAAACTTCTTTCACTGCAAGCTTACAAAAGTAGTGGGAAGCAATCTGATGAATGGAGAGCACATTGGCACTCTAACCTTTCATTACAAACCAAGAGGAGGGAAATGCTTTAAATCATTCCAGTTTTATAAAGTGTGAGACACATAGGGAACCAAAACATCCCATTGACAAAGCGATGCCTGGGCCTCGACATCGACTCCTTGTGATCTGTGTAAATCACTCATTACTGCTTCGCTCACATGCCTGGCAGGCGCTTGATCCTTTCAGATTTGTTTTGCTCACTTCTAAAGGACAGCCCTTGAACAGAATTGGACTGAAGAGTTTCTGATTGCATAGACAGGAATCAGACCGCAGGCTCCAGTCAGCTTTGGATTTAGGTCAAAAGAATCCAAACTCCAAAGCAACCCTTTGGCCCCTTTCGTTGCATTTGTCAGCCAAGGGGCCATTAATTTTTTTTGCTTATTTTTTAAGAGGAGAGAAGCTGTGCATCTTGTTCTTTTGATCATAGATGATGTCATCATATTCGTAAGGGAAAGGTCAAGACTTCTAAATGGCATCCTACTTAAAGAGTGCCAAGTAATTTTATTCGTCTTTATGGTCAGCAGAATTTTGGCCCCCATGACCTTTGACTTCGTATGAGTTGCCATACTTGTTAGTATGTTTCATTAGATGGCAAAGGGGACTTTGGAGGTACAATGAAGGTTATTAATCCTTAAAAGGCAACAGGGGTGGCAGAAGAGTGTGCTAGCTGGGAGAGGGAGAGAGCCAATGGAAAGCGTGAGAAGGAAATGAGTTGTCAATGCCTTGAATGCCCCTGGAGGCAGACTTTCCCACAGAGCTTCAGAAAGGAATGCAGGCTCCCTGACACCTTCATTTCAGCCACGTGGGCTCTTGACCAGAACATCCAGCCAGCCGCACTCTGCCGACCTCTCACCTATTTTGACAATTTTTTAGTGACTGTCTATCGCATTGAGCTTAGGTTCTATGGATATAACTCTATTTCTGAGTTCATATTTTATTGGCTTGTGTCATATTTAATTACATAATTATTATAACAGTGCAATTGGTCAAAACAGCGTTTGGAATAAGCCACACTGAAACTTATAAGCATCAATTCAATTAGTAACAAAAGTGAGCAGAGGGTACCAAAGGCAGCTCGCAGTGGTGGGTATTCGGTCATGTGGACATTGGTCGGTATGGTTTACAGAAAGGGTGGGAAGCATCAATGAACCCATAGAGTCTCTGAGATGGAAGTCACTAAGGGAGCTTCAAATGCTTCTCGAACTCTGCCCTGCATCAGAACTATCTGGGTGGCTTGTGAAACACAGGTGATGCTAACTCTGCTGGTCCAGGGAACACACTTTGAAGACCACTGAACTACAGCCAGTTTTGGTGGAGTGGATGGGACAAGTCTTCAAACTTTAGCACGCATAAAGTGGGAGGCCAGGCGTTACCTTTCCATCTGTCTCTCTACCTGTCCACCTTCGAGTGGGCAGACATTAGGTGTTCTGTTACACTTACAGCTTGGTATCATATTGAAATTTTTAATTTTTAATATTTTTCCTGCATCTACTTTGGAACTTTGGAATTTGAGAGAGGATGTGATGAGGGCTTTCAATGTCTGCATGTTCATTGTTTTCTGCCTCCTGCACACCACCCTCCTGGGGATCAAGTCCACAACCTGGGCATGTAGCCTGACTTAAAATAGAACTGGTGACCTTTTGGTGCATGGGATGACACTCAACCAACTGAGCCACACTGGCCAGGGCAGGCATGCTGTTTTCAAATCACATGTCCCCTCATCTCTTTACAGAAGAAAAACACCATTTCTGTCTTTCCAAAAACATGTGTCTGGCAAGAGCTGACCAGCTGCAGGGTGGAAAGACAGCAATGTGGGTGTATTGTCAGTAAGCTGAAGTCGGAGGCACATTATCTGATTGCCTGTAATCTCCCTTTCAGAACTGGCTGACGGAGCTGGAGATTTTTGCTATCATCTTCTCAGCTGCCATCCATGACTACGAGCACACGGGAACCACCAACAACTTCCACATCCAGACCCGGTGAGGACGTTGAAATGTGTGGAGGAGAGGCAAGAGGGGTCAGGGAGAGGGTTTTATAAGCCAGCAAGGAGTCAGTCACCTTTCTTTTATATGGTTGCTCTATTTTGAGTTTCAGGAAAAATGAATTTAAAAAATTTTAAAATATATTTTTATTGATTTCAGAGAGGAAAAGGGAGGGAGAGAGAGATGGAAACATCAATAATGAGAGAGAATCACTGATTGGCTGCTTCCAGCACCCCTCATATTGGGGATTGAGCCTGCAACCTAGGCATGTGCTCTGATAGGGAATTGAACCATGACCTCCTGGTTCATAGGTCGATGCTCAACCACTGAGCCACACCCACTGGCTGGGCTGGAAAAATTAATTTTAAACAAGAGACCAGCTGGGTGAGTTTCGATCAAGACTTAGAGTGTAAAGTCATCTGCTCCTAATTCTCATATTTTATTCACATCTAATATGCATCTCCTTTCCCTCTCTTCTAATGCTAGCTCCTTGGTACCTATTTTTAATAGGAGCTGGAGCAATGTACAGAAAGGCACAGATGCCATGTAGACTAAATCAGTGGGGACAGCAAGGACTAGAGTGTCTTTGTTGATGTGAACAATAACTGAGCCTTCTCACCCTCTGACCTCTGGGATTCTGGTGGTGCTCATCCCAGTCTCCCTAATTCTATCTCTGCTCTGTTCAACGGCATAGGCATGGGGAGTTAGGACCACCATGGTGAATGTCTCATGCAGGCCTTTCACCATGGGCAACTTCTGCACCCTCCCTAGCAAAATTCTGCGGGGCTATTAAATACGGGTCCAAGTGCCGGACACTGAACCTGTAGACTGACACAGACATCACTAATCAATTTGGGTATTTTTTTTCTTACTAGCTACAGACTTATCCTTCATAGTCCTCTCAGTACAGAATCCCAGGCAGCTGTACCATCAATTGTCATTTGCATTTAGAATGAAACCTTATCTGCCCTCTCCTGGACTCAGAAATTACCTTCTTTTAAGACAAAGATTCAGAACTAGAGAGAATCTGACAGTGGGGTTAACTGGGCCTTGACATACGAATCAAAAGAAGCGAGACCCTAGCTGGTTTGGCTCAGTGGATAGAGCGTCAGCCCTCGGACTGAAGGGTCCTGGGTTCAATTTCGGTCAAGGGCACATATCTTGTTTGCAGGCTCTATCCCTGGCCCTGTTTGGGGCTCATGTGGGAGGCAACCAATCGATGTGTCTCTCTCAGATGGATGTTTCTCTCTCTCTGTCTCTTCCCTCCCCCACTCTCTCTAAAAAAACCAAAAATCAATGGAAAAATATCCTCGAGTGAGGATTAACAACAACAAAAAAGAAGCTAGAATTTGGGGAAAGGTGACAAAGCAAAGAGAAAGAAGATGGGGGAGGGGCGAGTTTAACACCAATAAATACCTGCTGATTTCACTGAACGAGCAGGTGCACAGTTCAGATAGGTTTGTGTCCATAAATCCATCCACATGTATTTAATGAACCCGGCACTTAATTGTGGGCCACACAAAGGACGGCAGTATCCTCCGATCTGTGTTCAGTAGAACGGAAGCAGACAAAAGGACTTAAGCCGTTCGCTTCATTTTCTGCCTCCTTCCTCCCCACGTAGAGCAGTCTCAGCTGCTGTAAAACAGTCTTTATGGCCCTGTTGCAAGGTCTTTAAACACAGGGAATTCCACAGAGCGGTTTAGTGGAAGCTTTGCTCTGAAGACAGAGAGTAGCACCTGCCGAAGGGAGACAGGTGGATGGAAGAACCGTACCTGGATCATGGCTGGAGGCCAGCGTCAAAACCGGTCACAACGCAGAGAGAGATTAATTTCAGGAGTTGGAAAATAGTTTAATGTCACAAACACACATCAGTTAGTGCCTTCATTACTTAGCAGGCACCAGATCAGATGGCTCGCCCCAAGATTTGCATGTTTTGTGCTGTATCTTCATAGGACTGGGAAAACTCCAGGGGGCTCAGTTAAGTGTGGTTTGGAGTGAAGTGTGGACATTGGCCTTCCCTAACAGAACGTTATCTAAAGCATCCCAGCCTGTGTGCCCCCTGTTCCGCAAACCAAGTCTGTGACCAGGTCCTTTGTCCTTGGATGGTATGTTAGGTCTAATACTTTAAAGGTGTGCTAGATAAATTTCAAAGTTTGGCTAATGACAGGTGGGAGTTATCTTGGGGGGCAACGGCCCCACTGTCAGAGATCTCGCCTTCATCCCAACCCTGACTCAGCCACTGTGGGGCTCTGTGGAGTCCCTTTACATCTCTGGTACTCAGCTTCCTTGATGAGAAACCAATAGGCTGTAATAATCTCAGATTTCATTAAATTAAGGATATAGAAATAGTATACAACTCTGTTTGCTGTCATTCAATTGTGGAATGGTCTTTGAAAAAGTGACTAACAGTTGTCATATAATCCATATATTTTTCACTCTGTTTTCTATGTATGGCTTCTACATCGTAACATTTAAGATCAGCCCTGGCTGGTTTTGCTCAGTGGATAGAGCATGGGCCCACGGACCGAAGGGTCCCAGGTTTGATTCCGGTCAAGGACATGTACCTCAGTTGCAGGCTTGATCTCTGGTCCCTGTTTGGGGCATGTGCAGGAGGCAACCAGTCGACGTGTGTCTCTCACATCAGTGTTTCTCTTTCTCTGTCTTTCCCCCTCCCTCCACTCTCTCTAAAAATCAATGGAAAAATATACTCTGGTGAGGATTAACAAAAAATAAGCAATTTTAAGATAAAGCTACAACCAGAGGAACTTGCAAGCTATACCTGCCAGGTGGTATGTGTTCAGAGAACTAGTGATAAAATAAATTCTTTTATTTAATAAAAACAAAGCCAAACCGGTTCTGGCTTAATAAAAACATTTAAGTTGTTCTAGAAAATATACGGAAATTTGACTTGACCCACATTTTAAAAAATTATCTTTGCTGCCACCAGTAAAAATCATGGAGATCTGCTTATGAATAGTTTTCAGAGAGTTCTCAGATTGGGTGGCACCTATTTTACATCCACATATTGACATTAAAATACCCTACATATATCAATTGATCATTTACAGTGTTCGTTTTAGGTTTTTGTTGACATAAAAGGCATCGGGGCGAAGGTAATTGCTAAACACAGGGAAAAGAGATGGTGTATTCTAGCTTGAAAGAGTTAACCTGAAAAGTCTCAACTATTTAACGTACCAGATTATTTTTTGGCTTCCTGTTCAGGTCCGACCCAGCTATTCTGTACAACGATAAGTCTGTATTGGAAAATCATCACTTAAGTGCAGTTTATCGCCTTCTGCAAGAGGATGAGGAAATGAATATTTTGATCAACCTCTCGAAGGATGACTGGAGGTAAGGATGAGACAGGGAGGCCAGGAAAGGATCAGCGAGGAGAGATGTACTAGTATGCTGCTTTGAAGAAATCCATTAACCAAAAGATAACTTACACTTAATCTCCTGTTTCTTTGTAGGAAAGCAATTTTAATATCTGATAGATTTGTTTGGATACCTAAGTGCATTTGACCTTTTAGGATCTTTGTAGATGAACGTGTTACCATTTATTTACTGCATTTCAAAGTGGAATAACATGGCATTCCACTTTCAGCAGACCGGATCAATCTGCTAATAAGCCAGTCCTGCACACAATGGCTATAAACTATGATCAAATACAAACAAACACAACCCCACTGACTTGAGAGTGCACAAACTTAGGCACGTTTTGAAGGGGTGTCAATATCTGGAGACTGTGACAGGATGGAGTGAGTGTGACATTTTTATGACTTCACCCTGAAGACAGTCTGTGTCAAGGCAACAGCACTAGTTGGCTAAAACCATATTTATACAAAGACCTTCACTGTGTTTCTGGCTAGAGAGACCAGGGTAGGAACAACTAGAGCTGCTATCAAGTGAGTTAAAACCCCAGAAAAGAGAGAGTCAAAAAATCAGGGGAAACTCAAATTCTGTGACCATCTCAATGGCATGCAAAGAACAGGAAAATGTGACTTATTTGCAGAGGAAAAGACAATCAGTAGATGCAGACTTTCAGATGAACTATTGTTGGAATGATCAGACTAGGACTTTTAAAGCAGTTCTTATATTTATGCTCAGTGAGGTAAAGGGAAATATGCTTGTAATAAAGTACAGTGAAATTTAACCAGTGGAATGAAAATATAAACAAGAGCAAACACATTTTAGAACTGACAAGTCAAATATTTAAATTGAAAAATTACTACACTGGCTTAGTAGCAAGTTGGAGAAGACAGAGGAAAGAATCAGTGAACTTGAAAACATCAATCAATATTATCCAGTTTGAAGATGAGGAAACAGGAGTAGCTTAGGGACCTGTGAGACAGTTTCAGGCTCAAGTTAGATTACAGATGTCACAACTAATTAACAGATTCAGATGGGAAGTGGCAAAAAATAAACTAATTTTTACTTTCCATTTTTGACTTTCACCTTTTTTTCCTCCATGGGGTGTCCCTGAAAGGGAATTTCGGACCTTGGTAATTGAGATGGTGATGGCCACGGATATGTCCTGTCATTTCCAACAAATCAAGGCGATGAAAACTGCTCTGCAGCAGCCGGAAGCGTGAGTGTGTCTGTGTCACTTGTTTTTTTATAGGTGTTTGAGCTGGAACTGGCCCATGTTGTTGCTTCTTTAAAGTGTACCTCCTTCAGCGAACTTTGTCGAAAAGTCTCATAGTAGCTGGGGATGTTTGGAGGAAAAAGCATGAGAATTGCATGTATCACAGATTCTCATCAGGGTTGAAATATATACAAGGGGCCATAATAATTTGTCCCAGTTAGAATTGAAAATATTTTCCTGCAGGAAACCAAATTATCAAAGATCTACTCAGTGCAGAGGTGACATACACAAGTCAGTGTGTGACTCTTGGAGTTTTGTCTTTTTGAATGAGCCAGTCGTTGCAGAAATTGTTTTGAGTCTGTTTTTGAAGTGTCCAGCTCAACACACATGGAGACCTAGCTGGTGGATATTCCAGTTGTAGGATGATGTGATGCTTTCCCCTCAGTTCAGCCGAAGTGGGGCTTGACACAGGAGAACAGGAGAGATTAAAAAATTAATGCTTTTTAAAGAAACTCTTATTGAGGTTCTGAGAGCTTGATCAGCATGTGCTTGGTTCCTTTGGGTTTACAGGATTGAAAAGCCGAAAGCATTATCCCTGATGCTGCACACAGCAGACATTAGCCATCCTGCGAAGGCGTGGGAGCTCCATCACCGCTGGACGATGTCACTGCTGGAGGAATTCTTCAGACAGGTACCTTGTGCTATCCCTCAGGGCTTTCATCACCGGATAGTTTCTGAATTTCAGATTTCAGCAATGCTATGAGATCACAGTAATTTTCTTGAGGAGGCAGAGTTTGCAGATTTTTTTTTTTTTTTTGCCTCCTGGTCATGTGATATTTGAATCTTACTTACATTCTGACTCTCAAAACATTATGGTATTTCTATCCCATCCATTTCTATTTGAAAAGAGAAAAAACAGTTTCTTGTGGCAGTGTTTTGTAAAAATGTCATCAGAGGAGCCCTTTGGTTTATGTATTTTTCTAATGGGCCGACCAAATGTTGACCAGTTTGGCATTCTCCTGTGGGATTAAGATGTTAATCTTTTACTGTTATAATTGGTTGGGTTGTTTCTTTTGAGCTGGCAAACCACATTGTCAAATTCCAAAGCCCGGTGTGGTAATTTGGGGTCAGGAAATCATTAGAAGCCACTGTTTAAATTATATTTATGGGTGTACATTGCTTTAAAAAAAGTTTTTAAAGGTGCACAAAAGTAGAAGGATAGAAAGGAAAATAAATGTGTTGCACTGAGATTGATATCTTCTCGCCTGGCCGGCATGGCTCAGTGGTTGAGTGTCAACCTATGAACCAGTAGGTCACAGTTCGATTCCCAGTTGGGGCACATGCCTGGATTGTCGGCTCAATCCCCAATGTGGGATGTGCAGGAGACAGCCGATCAATGATTCTCTCTCATCATTGATGTTTCTATCTCTCTCTTCCTTCCTCTCTGAAATCAGTAAAAAATATTTTAAAAAAAGACTGATATCTTCTCAAGAAGAGTTGCCATTAAAACATCTGTTTCGAGATGTGAGGTCCTGAGGTTGAAGGTGTTGATGTGAGAAACATTCAGATCTCTAAGTCAAACTGACAACCATTGCCAAGAACAAAATCTCCAGTGCTCTGGAGAATGACAGTTTTGCAGTTTCCTTTATACATTTGGAATTAAGAAGGGAATGTAAGGAAGGGTACATGAAGGTGGGAGAAAGCAAGGTGAGGATTGGAATTACAGGATAGTTAACAAGGTTATGTGCTCTCTTGAGGGTGGCTATGCTTCTGAGGAGTCTGAAAAGAGGTGTTAACCTAGATGCATAGAAACAATGGGCAGGGCTTGCTTCAGGCAAAGATAAACCTTTTGCTAAAGAAGTTACATGCCTGGGGTGTGACTGCCCACCATGACCTGCCCAGTTAGGAATTTATGATCAGATCACCTTGTGAGGTCACTCTCAGTTAGATTTATTACAGTACCCATTCTTTTTTTCACAAAGGCAGTATGTCATGTAGATTGTGGGAACTAAATTAGAGTTAATTCAAGTTAATGCTGTTAATTTAGTTAATTCTTACTAATTCAAGAAGGGAGATTCACCTCATAGATTCAGAGGCAGCTGATATCCCACAGAATATCTCTTAACACTGGTCTCAACTTTGTCTCCTAAGTTAACAAGAGATATGCTCTTTTACTGGCAACTCAGATTTTTGGAAGGGACTTACTCTTATTCTTATGCTTCTAGTTTAAATGGAGAAATTGTAGAAGGCATCTAAGGGTTGTACTTCTTTTGAACTTGTGCACAATATCTGGAAATGAAGTGGGACTAGAGCTAACAGCATATTAAAGTCCAGAAGGCCTTTTATTGGAGTTTTTTTATTATTATTATTCCAACTGGTTTGTGGCCTGGGACTAACCAAATTATTCCTCTAGGTCTCAATGGTCTTATTTGTGATTTGGGTTTTTTGTTTTGAGAGGGTAGGAGGAGTTGGTGGAACTTAAAGGAAGGTTAGACTAGATGTTTTCTTAGGGTCCTTCCAGCATTAAATGTTCTATATTTTCTTCATTTTGTCTATGGTGTATGTCAACCCATATGCATACATCCCTAAATTGTTAAATGGATACAGTGGCAGGTACCTCATTCAGCATATTGCTGTTTCCTCTTGCAGTCACTGCTTGGCCTCACAGAGTAGTTCTCAAGGAGAACCTGATGGCATGGGAGGAACTAGAAAAGTACAGATGTGGCTCTGTTGTATATACAAGAATGACTGTAAATTCATCCTTAATCGAGGGCTAATTTTGAGCCATTTTTCCAGAAGCTATTTTTCTAATATGAGTGAGAATATTTTCTCCAAACATGCCCTTCCCTTATCATATGCTTTCTTTGATGCTGCTTTTGCAATACAGCCCTATAGCTAATAGTATTTGATCTGCAGCCAAAGTTAGATCAGAGCTAACTCATATAAGTTTGAGGTATTGATTTCTTTTTTTAATTGTGAGAGAGTGAATATGAGAAATTACTTAAATATTTGAACATTTTTACCCATAAAGGAAACCTTGTTTGCATATACATATGCTTGAATTGAATGAAAATGTGCTAGATAGAGGCAATGTGAAAAGAGCCATATTGAATTTCTTGCCTTTTGGGAATGGAATGTTAGCTCAGTGCACCAGAATGGTTTTTTAGTAATTATGATTCAGTAAGTTATTTTTATTGATTTAATATTTTAACCTAGATGTCATAAGCCATTGTAGGTAACCCACATAAGAGAAGTGTTGCCGTACTCTTAGCTATAGATTTTAAATTGGACAGTTCAAATGGGAACTCTCAACGGGACCTTAGAATCCTTGAAAAAATTAAAGTTGGAAGTTGAGTTATATTTCAAAATAAGGGCATAGCCTCAGTATTGATACTAGACCTTTTAGGCTTTGCTAAAGAATAAGTTACATCTTTAGTTTTTTTTCCTTTTAATATATTTTTATTTATTTCAGAGAGAAAGGGACAGGGAAAGAGAGAAAGAAACATCGATGATGAGAGGACCAGGAATCAAACTGTGATCTCCTGTTTCATAGGTCGATGCTCAACCACTGAGCCATGCTGGCTGGGTACATCTTTAGTTTTATAACCCTATTTTACAAAATCCAAGCCACTGCCTCAGGGTGCTTTTCAATAAAATATTGACTTTAATGAAGTGTACATTTGCCTTTTTGAAAAATACATGTTGTTAAAGTCTTGAGGTTCATTTCTGCTGTATTGCTGTATATTTTTATATTTTGTATATGTCCCCTGTAATTCTTTGAATTTCCTCTGTATCTGAGAGTATTTTCTCACTTTTATTTCTCATTTCATATATTAGTGTTTTCTCTTTCTTCTCTATGAAGTTAGCTATTTGTTTCATTGGTTTTTTTTAATTTTATAATGCCTTATTTGATGTTTCCATTTTTATTAATTCTTTTCTTCAATTTGAATTTATTTTGTTCTTTTGCTAAGTCCCCGAGTTGAGTACTTCATTCATTTCTTTGTGTTCTACCTGTTTAATATGAGAGCACACAAGGCTAGGTGTTTGTCTTTTTTAATTATTATTATTATCATGAATCTCAGAGGTTCTGCTATGCACCATGTTCACAATGATTCTTTCCTAAATATTCTGTAATTTCAGTTTAGATTTTATTTTTTACCCAAGTTACTTCAAATAGAGGTGTTTGTCTATATAATTTTCCACTGGTAGGTTCTTTTGCTTTCTAGCATTTGATCAAAGAACTTTTTCATTGTTTGGATTTTATTGTGAGATTTATTTGTCACATACAATAAATTTTTATGAATATTCACACATTTTCTATTCAAAGAAAAATAGATTTATTTCTTGTGGAGGCTAGAAGTCAAAGAACACCAGAAACATATATAAATACCTCATTAATGATGTCATTTAGGTATTTTATATATCATAAAAAAATTGGTCTATCATGGGTTGAAAATATTGACCTCCTTAGGAAAGAAAGAAGTGTATAAATAATTCCACAAAGACTAGTAGTTATATAGATATAAAATATTGTATCAATCAAGTTGGATTTACCTGTACAAGTATATTTTTTCATATTATTTCCCACACATTTTTCCTCATTCATCAATGTGTCTGTCCTCCAAAGGGAATTCAGTGACCACTATTTTAAAATGGGCTTTTAATAGTTGAGTGTACTCAGCTCAATTAAGTCTCAAAGATGTATGTGTTATGTAGATGTGGGTGTGGGCAAGGTGATGAGATAAGCTGTTTAACATGCACTTTTTCAGTAATAAAATTCAAACTAATGCTAGGGAAGGGGCATGGGGGAGGTAGAAGAGAGTAAAGGGGGGTAAATGGTGATGGAAGGAGACTCAACTTGGGGTGGTGAACACAATACAATATCCAGATGATGTATTATAGAATTGTATACCTGAAAGCTCTATACTTTTATTAACCAGTGTCACCCCAATAAATTCAACAATTTTTTTTATAAAAGAATGCAGCTTCTCACACTGAAAACAAAAATGCTCACCTCTTACTTGTCAAGTGGTTAGTATTCACCACCCCTTCTCCCAAACCACCCCCATTAAATGTACCAGCAAAACAACTTGTGTCCCTGCTTCGTAGAGAGAAGAGTGGGCTTTGTTTATGTCAGCTGAAGTATGCCACTCAACCATCTGCACAACTACAGTGTATGTTATAAATATTCTTCTTTCTGTTCATACAAGCAGAAATAGCTCAGGAGTAAATAATTTTTTTTCCAGTAGGAGTTTCTTTTTTTTTAAATCATTATTGTTGAAAATATTACATTATGTCCCCTTTCTTCCCCATTGACCTCTCCCCCACCCCCCTAGGCCTTCACTATTCTATTGTCTGTGTCTATGGGTTATGCATATATGCATAAATAATTTTTATCATGCTACTTAAGAGAGAGAGAGCAGCTTTCAGCAAGGCATCCTGGGAAACAGGAGCATCATCTCCCAGGGATGTCCACACAGGGGGAGGGGGGGTGCAGATGGAACTGAGCCACTTCAGGACTGTTCTGAGACCCTGGGATGTCTCCAGCACCCATGGGGACCCCGCTGCTCAGCTTCCTCATACCCCCACTCCTTTTCCTTTCATTCAATAGATATGTGTGTGTGAACTAGTATTCTTTCTCTTTGGTAACCGGCCTTGGAAAGAAAAGGCATTGTTTTGAACTAGGCCTAGTTTTTGAACCAGGTTGTTATTACTCTTCATTTACTATTAATTTATTGGTGATATTTATTATAATCACAGTGTATTTGATGTAACAAAGTCACTGAATGTTTCTCAAATTTTGACTTAAATATTAGAGATACCCATTGGGAAATAATTATAGTTCTTTTTATTTACTTGCACACATTTTCTCATTCAATCCTCACCATCACCTGATGAGGTAGACATTATTATTCCAAATTTTATAGATTGAAAAACTGAAAGGTAGAGAGAGAAGGTAAACTTTCTTTGATCACACAGCTAGTGGGAGGAAGGCCAGAGTCAAGCCCAAGGCAGTGGCCATTAACCCAAGCAGATTCTTTCATAATAAAATGGATGAACACAGCGTGGTCACAGTTATTATGGTGACATGTTCCCTTTCCTCAGGTGTGTGACTGAAGGAATTCTGGTTCAGGATTTAAAAACCATCATCATTCCTTAGACTTTCCATGGCGCCTGCTCATTACAGCAGTACTTTTTGGAGGACTGTGAATCATGTTTTATTTATTGCCCAACGCTACAAACACAAGCAATTATTTACTGCTCTGCCTGCTCAGTCCACTTTTCATTACGGTCTGGGGCCTGTGGCTGAGAACCCAGAAGCACGTGCACCAGTTGTGTGTGGTTTTAGGTAGCAAAGGAGAGGAAATTCACATCAGCCAGTTGGAATTTTTCTTCTTTAAAAAAACATAGTTTAGATCAACCAAAGGACTTGTATGCATGCATATAAGCATAACCAATGGCCATAAGACACTGGGGAATAGGGGAGGCTAGGGGACTGCTAGGGCGGGGGGAAAAAATGGACACATATCTAATACCCTTTGTAATAAAATTAAAAAAATTATAAAAAAATATATATAGTTTTATTGATTTCAGAGAAGGGAGAGAGGGAGAGAGAAACATCAGTGATGAGAGAGAATCATTGATTGGCTGCCTCCTGCATGCCTGCCACTGGGGATCGAGCCCACAACCCGAGCATGTGCCCTGACTGGGAATCAAACTGTGACCTACTATTTCACAGGTCTTTGCTCAATTATTGAGCAGCACCTGCTGGACTGAATTTGTGTCTTGAACACTGTCCGCAGCTGGGAGGGAGTCACTGGCTCAAGAAAGGCCTCAGGTGTCAACATAAGACAATTGGAAAACTGGTGGTAGCTCTGAGTGCCATGTTGGCCCCGGGCCACAGGATGCTTCGCTTTCCGTGGTGTCCAGTGAGGCCTCTGTGCCACAGCGGGCGCCTCTGCAGTGGGGGGGAAGGATGGAGCCCAGCCACCTCCGGTCTCTTGGTGTCTCTTATGCAGAGAAGCAGCCCCATAAGGACTTGGTACCTAATGTAATGGTAATAATGAAAATAAAGGCCACTGGCCTTCGTGGCAGCTGAAGTTGCTGCATGAAATCTGGGTGGTTTGGCCTACTGCTCTTAATTTACCGTGGCCTCCTGTGATTCTAGGGGGACAGAGAAGCAGAGTTGGGGCTGCCTTTTTCTCCTCTGTGTGACCGGAAGTCGACCATGGTTGCTCAGTCGCAAGTAGGTACGTGTTTGCCAGGCTTTGGAGAGAAGGAAAGACCTGAAAGGGGTGTCCGGACGTGAGGGCAGAGGCTCCCAGTGCCTCCCCGGCTGGAGCCGGGCTCCATTCTGCTGGGCTCTGCTCCTGGCTGCAGCTTGGTGGGTTGATGGAGCTGCTCACCACCCTTCTCCCCAAAATGGGCTGTTTCATGGGAAGAGTAGACGGTGACATCGCTGTCTCCATCATTCCCTGCCAAGAGAAAAGGGGCCTCAACTTTCCAAGGTGATGAAGGAGTCGGTGGCAGGAAGCCCATTTTTCCTGCAGCCGTGGAAGTCTCATGCCACTTCCCTCAGGGATGTCTGCAGGACATATCACTCTTGCAGGACCCTGCTTCCGGGAATGGCTCTTTCTAATCTCCTCCCTCCCTTCCTCCCTTCCTCCCTTCCTTCCTTCCTCCCTTCCTCCCTTCCTCCCTTCCTCCCTTCCTCCCTTCCTCCCTTCCTCCCTTCCTTCCTTCCTTCCTTCCTTCCTGTCTAGGCTGGGTGCTCTTGGGGCCAGCACTTTAGTAATAATAAGGATGAGGGTTAGCATTCTATAGGGCTAACGAGGGCCGGGCCTGCTCTAAGTTTTACAAGTATTACATAATTTCATCCATACGGCAGCCACTCCTTCCTCCCTTTCTTCCTTCCTTCCCTCCTTCCTAAAAATTTTGAGCACCTTTTCTGTGTGGTAAGGATAACCTTTGCTTGCACTGCTACTAACCATAATGTATGTGCATTATAAAAATCCTTGGCTATGAGAGCCCCAGTGTCACTAAATTAAATGTCAACAGTGCCCTCCAGCTGAAAAGAATCTGAAATCATTCAAAAAATAAATTCAATAAGGATTTGATTTTTTTCTACTTGTGTTTTGAGTACTCATTTTTTTTTCATAATAATGCATATTATTGAGTCCCTTTTAGGTTTAGAACACTGATAGACATTATAATAGATGTTAAAAAAACGAAGACAAATTATACATGGTACCTGCTCTCAAAGACATGGAACCAATACAGTGGGGCCTTGACTTACGAGTTTAATTCATTCCGAGACCGAGCTAGTTAAGGAGCTCGTTAACTCAAATTACTCTGTCAACTCAATGCAAAAAATCAGCAGAGAGACAGCTGGTATCTCAAAAAACTAGTCGGGACACTCATAAGTCAAGGCCCCACTGTATTTGGTGGTGGGCGAGATGTTATGAAAACAAAATCCATTAGAGTGTTACAGTGTTAAGGTAGTTTTGTACTTCATGTAATCAGGGGCAAAACAGGGTGTCCGAGCCGTTAGGCTCAGAAAGACTTGTTGACATTTGAGTTGGGTCCTAAGAGATAAGTAGGCAAATGGAGCTATGCAATACAGGTGTGCTAGGGGCAGCTGGGAGGGCATTTCAGACAAAGGGATTAGCATATACTAAGCAGGGAAATTTAAAACAGTCTTGGAAAACCAGGGAATTACAAACAGTTCCATATGGCTGGAGTACTGGGTAGAGTAGAATGAAGCGAGAGACAAGTTGAGAGAGAAAATCAGGCCCAAATTATGGATTGTATTAAGATAGCATGCGCTTTGTACTTCCCTGTCGGAAGTGAGGGCATATCTAAAGCATTTTAGGTAAGGGTAAGCACATATACATTGATGGGCTAAATCTGGGGCCCTGCTTTGGGCTCCTCCTTGGTTTCTTTCCTTGTATTCTAGGGGTCATGTTTATGCTCATTTAATGTCTCCTATAAACTGAAGGCAGGCAGGGTATGTCACACCCTTAGTCTTGTATGCAGGGCCTGTTGCAGCATTTGTTGCATTGGGAATGTTGAATTCATATTTTTAAGCACTTGATTGGAACAATCTACTAAAAAAGTTAGGAAAATTCTGTGGGAGAAACAGCTGACTCACGATATTCAAATCAAGGAATATATTAAGTGAATGAGACCCCGATCTGATCTGGGGCTCCTGTGTAGGCGAGTTTAAGAGTTAGCACTCCTCAGTTTCAGGGGGAATTACCGAAAGGCCCCAGTGAAAATGCAGTTTCCCTGGAGCATTGCTGTCTCTCCGCAGGTTTTATTGATTTCATCGTGGAGCCCACCTTCACGGTGCTCACGGACATGACTGAAAAGATCGTGAATCCGCTAATTGAGGAGACCTCCCAGACAGGCGGGACAGGACAGCGGCGTTCAAGGTCAGTGGAGAAGCTCGAAGGCTGGAGTCAGGTTGGCCTGTCCCTGAGGGTAGAACTCTTCCTTTGGAAGGGATGGGGGTGTGTTTCAGAATGATGCTTGTCCTCCCTCCTTCCTATAAGAGAGTTGTCTGCCTTTTCCTTTTCTCAGAGGAGTTGAAGTTATACTATTTGCACTCTCCGGGCTGGCGTGGAAGGGAGTGACCATGGTCTAAATGATGATTGGCAGGTGCCCAGTAGAGCATCTCTCTCCCACTCATTCTCTCTCTTTGGTGCCTTTGCTCACGGCAGGCATCCTGATCCCCTTACCTATTAGCTGTGCATTCGAAGGCAAGATGCCTCAGTTTCCTCATCTGAGAAAATGTGAATTATAATACTCAGAGGTTACAGGGAGGGGTAACTGAGTGGTTCAATCTCTGTAAAGCCCTGATAACAAGGTCCAGTACAGAGGAAGCGCCAGCTACAATTGAGCTAACACTTCACCTTTATTAGTAGTATTCCTACCCCTTCTCCTGTTCATGCAAAACCTTGGGCTTTGTTATGCAGGAGAAAGGAAAGAAATGGAATGAAAAGACAAAAGAGCAGAAAAGAGCAAGAGGAGGGGCCAACAGCGAGATGGGAAGGCAAGAGGAATGTTAGGACATTGGGACCCTAGGGACACTGAAGGCGGTTGGACCCAGCCAGGGCTGCAAGCAAGGAGGACTGAAGGCCCCTGCCCGAGTCCCACAGCCCCACAGCTCTGCAGACACTGGGCTCAAATGTACTCTGCTTACGTAGTCAGCCTTGGGAGCCATCCAGTGGGTTGGCATTCATGCCAGTCACTGCTTAGGCGCCTGGGAGTGTGTGATACTTTTCTTTAAAGTTACCCAGATGGATGGCACTTTCTAAGTTTGCGAAGTATCTCATGTTTAAAGCGTAAAGTAATATTGATATAGAAAAAGGCCTCTTGCATGACTGCTCTCCACCTTCCCCCAGGAACATGAGGAAATCACCCTGCCGTGGCCTCGGGGATCCGGCGATCAGAGGCACCCAGCTGCAGGGGGAGGCATGGCTGGGGAGAAATAGGACTAAGTGGCTGAGTGACTTGGAATAGTGGTCAGTGAGGAAGCAGGTGGATAAACTGTGGAACCAAGTTGAAGTTCAAGTTCAAACTACTTGGTTGCAGAAAATCGAGGACAGAACAATCACATAGGGGAGTCTAGTCATGTTGATAAAGAGGATACCAATCAAGAACAACAACAAAACACAGGGACTGTCGCTACTCAGGAGGCTGAAATATTGATTTTCTTTTTCTGCTGAAAATATGGAATTTCCCATCTGTCACAAGTGGAAAATAAGAATTACAAACCTCAGGACCCAGGAATTTCACAGCAATAACTTAATGATTGCTAACCACTCCTCGTTTGAGCCTGTTCACAGCCATACATTTCCCAAACACCGAACCCTCCTCTTCTGATCCATCTTGCCTAGTTCATTTCTTGTGTGTGATTTCCCCCCATCCAGTTTGAACAGCATCAGTTCGGCAGATGCAAAGCGATCGGGTTCCAAGAGCGCAGGCTCAGAAGGAAGCGCCCCAGTCAACAATTCCGTCATCCCTGTCGAGTACAAGAATTTTAAAGCCACTTGGACTGAGGTCGTGCACATCAATCGGGAGCGGTGGAGGGCCAAGGTGCCCAAAGGTAACCTATTGGGGAATCTTCCAGGAGGTCGGTCCAAACCACCCAGCACCCACTCATACACAAGGCTTGCCACCCTCATTTATAGGTGTCGCAAAGGAAGTGAAATCTCAGGATAGAGATTCAAGTGGCTGAATGTTAGCATTTACCCTTTTTTTAAATTTTATTTTTCAATTACAGTTGACATTAAATATTATTTTATATTAGTTTCAGGTGGACAGCATAGTGGTTAGACATTTATATAACTTACAAAGTGATCCCTCAATAGGTCTAGTATCTGCCTGGCACCATACATTGTTACAATATTATTGACTCTGTTCCTTATGCTAACTTTACACCCCATAATACCAATTTGTGAAAAAGTATCCACCCTCTTTTGATCCTCATTTCATTTAAAACTCTATGCATGATAGGATGACGCAGACCTCCAGGCCTCTCTATAGCATGACCTTGACTGTCATGCCAGGTTCTGTGCCAAAGGTGCAGAGATGAGCAATAGATGTCCTTATCATCGAAGCTCCTGGGGGATGGGGGGCAGGGAAGGGGACATCACTATAGCGTTTCTTTCAAAGGAAGAAAGGGAGTTTAATGAAGGCCTTGTGCTCATCACCCACACCCACCAGCCCTGAGTGACCCTCACTGTAGGCAAGGAGGGTTTCATCCCCAAACACAACATGCCATACTTTCACCCACCCAGTGTCTACACAGCAGGGGAGAAGAGTGGAGGGGCTGCACTGAGCATGTGCTGGCCATCTCGGTTCCTTGTACTTGGGGCGCTGCTTCCAGGGAGGGAGAGAAGAGACCTCACTTGGAGTTGGAGTTATTCCAAGGACAACTACTGTCACTTACTCACAAAACCCTACCCAGGTGGCTGCTCATTTCAGGCAGGGCAATAGGTTTATATTTACGGCACTTTTAAGGCACCATTGGGCCCTTATCAATTCAGGACAAATGTTGCACCCTGAGCTCTGGAAGGAGCCCGTGCCTCTTCCATATTTTACAAATAGCCTCTCACAGTCCATTCAGAGGCCCTCAACATTTAAATCCTCCCCGTTGGCAGGCGTTGCAGGCAGTGACGGTCACCACTGCGTCGTCTCCAAGGAAGCACGCACTTATAATCAATTACACTCATTACACTTCAAACCCGGTTCCTGACAACACGCAGTGGGAAGAGGTGCTTCAGAGTCATTTGTTTGCAATCATCTGGCTTACTAAAATTACCTCCCGAAATGAATCACCTGGGGGAGCATTGGGCCGCTTCTTTACCAGGGGAAACCGGCCCTGTGAAAAGGACAGGTACATGAACAGCTAATAATTTTTAAATCTATTAGGTATGTGGATAGAGATATGCTTAAGCTATTTTGGATGCATGAAAGGGCTTGTCCCTAATCCTGCTCGGGGAATTTGGAAGGCATCGGTAGCCAGGACTTGCAGGACGCCTGGGCTGGAGCCTGGAAGAAGGCATTGTATTTAGAAATAGGGAACAGAATTTAAGTTCTAGTAATAAATCAAGTCCTAATATAATGATTACAATACAGTAACTATGTCTTCTTCAGCTGAAATAAGAACAGTTGCCTAAATTGACAAGCCTATTTTATTAAAAGAAATTAATTTGATTTAACATTATAAACATGCAGTTAATTCCTAGTGTTTATGGAGAAACTCCTGTCCTTAAGTACGATGTAATGTTTGCCAGTACTGTTAGTCCGGCCGGGTCTTAGTATTTGACTTGAAACCGTTAGGATGAAAACATATTGAATCAAAGTCACTTTGATGTGAGCTCAGATAACAGCAACAAAATATTTTTAGTGATGTCAGTAACTGCTGCACAATGCTTAGTAAATAAGTAAAAAGAAGAACAAAGAAATAGGGAACAGAGATAAAAGGGACAGGCCGAGCCCGGATTATGTATATTTTGTGGGAGGATCTTTTGGCCATCAAAGCAACTCCAGTTAGTGGGATTAGGGCAATCTGAATCCCCACTCGCCTTGTACTCTTTGGCAAATGCAGGTAGATTCTTTGAGAAAATTCCATTTTGGGGTAGGGGTGGGGAACATCTGGCCCGTGGGCCATGTAAAGCCCTCAACATCATTTGGTCTGGCCCTGCCAAGGCATTAGGGTGAGTTAATTAAATGTTTGACCAAATAGAGCAGGCTAATTTTTAAGTTGATAATTTTTTTATGGCCCTCGAATAATGTTATAAATATCCAAATGGCCCTTGGCAGAAAAGAGGTTCCCCACCCCTGATCTATAACATAAAACATATCTTTAGAGAGAGCTGTAACAAGGATTTCCTGTTCTGATAGTGAAACAAAGTCCATGAGTCTACTCTCTGGGAGGACAGTGTTCTTCATGATAATGTTGAGAATTACTCTTAAAGATACTGAA